GTTGTGACCGAAAAAAAAAAAAAAAATATAACTTTTAGTTTTGTGGTATTTGTGGAATATTTGAAAAAATAGTGGTATTTGCGAAACATTTGAAAAATTGTGCTAATTTTGGAAACAAAACTGATATTTGTGAGAATTGCATTTTTATAAACTTTGTTCGGTTTTGTTCCGTTGTCATTTCTATGGCACAAGCTACTGTTACTACAGGAGGGACAGGGACAAACATTTACAGCTTTTGATGTAGTCATTCAATTTTTTTGAACCTACGTAAACTTTTAAATTTGTTGATAATATATGAAGTTGAGTAAAAAAAAAAGAAGCTTCACCATTGAAGTTATAGGCCTTGGTTTACTGTTGCATTTACATTTTTGCAATCATAAAGTAAAAAACCATCCTCTTCTTCTCAAGAGACCCAAAAATCTACTCTCACCTTGTCTGACTTCATCTACCACTGGATTTGCAGCAACGTCTGCATCCCAAGAACCAATCTCATCAGCTTCACAAACCATTGGACTTGCGTCAACCTGTCCACCCCATGAACCGTTATCTGATTCACAAACCAAACTAAAACCGCACTTCAGTACCTCACAATCTGTAGCCTCATAAGTACCATCTGTAACTTCAAATTTAATTGAAGCCGTAGTAGGAATACACCCTTTCTTAAGTCGGACTTCTCGACATTTATTGATATTCAACCAACTGGTGAAGCCAATGAAAACATGCGTGGATTTAATCGTGCGTTGCTCATCGCTTGCCTCGGATAAACCTCCAACATTGCAGTTGAAGAAGCTAGTAGAGGGCGCTCCAACAACACTGTTGAATTCACATATGCATTTCACCATGAGGTTGTTGTTTTGGATTTTGTAGTTTTGAAATGAGACAATAGCACATAGAGCTATTCCAACAAAACCACTTTCACTCCAATGTCGTGGCAGCTCTGGCTCTAAGACTGCTCCAGAAGCTCTGTGATTGAACCATTCCGGAACTTCACTTCCGGGAAAGCAAGTGGCAACCAAAGCTTCAAAAGCAAGACCCTGTAAAGTAAAACCAAAGATAAGCTAATGTTCGCTAAAACATCTCTTAGTATGAAACAGAGGAAGTATAATTCTAAACAGTAGATCAAGATTTGGTTAATGAGAAGGGAATGGATAGAGAGTGACCTTATTTTGGCGATTCAATGCATCCGAAATCAGACGACTCTTATTGTGAGCATAGTGTATGATTTCATTCTTTGCGACGTGCTCCAAGTTCTCACAGTTGGTGAAAATAAATGACGAAGGGGCGTGCTCTTTTAACGGTAAGGGAATGGCTAGTGGCCTTGCTACTGTCTTTAGTGAGATGCAAGCATGAGCATCCAAACATTGCAGATTCGGTGGAAGTGTAGAAAGAGATGTGAGATTCTTGCAATACTTCAAGTCAAGCCATTTCAAATGATAGAGTTGACTAATGCTAGATTGCAAGGTGATGATTGTATCATTTCTGCTTAAGCATAGACGCCGCAACAAGGATAGTCCATTCATCATCCGAGGTTGTTTCTGTTGGAAAGCACAATGTAATAATCCACTTGGAAGCTCTTTGATCGGCGTTCCATCGAGTAGTAAAATCTGCAGATTCTCCATAATTTCTTTAACATCCGGAAAACTCTTAAGCTTTGAGCAACCAGAGAGTATGAGTTCTTCAAGAGCTTTAAGCTTGTCAAGACAATCAGGAAGAGACTCAAGCTTTTTGCAGTTTTTGAGATTCAAGACAATAAGTCTTCCGAGGTTTTGGATGGACAAAGGAAGTCCTTTGATCGCAGTACCATCTAGATGTAGATATTCAAGATTTTCAGAAATCACCTGAAATTCATTGAAGTTTGAGCAGTCACTTAGGATAAGAGTCTTGAGAGAGATTAAATAATTCTTCATCTCTGGAAAAGACAAGAGACTTGTGCATCCTCTGAGATTCAAGAAAGCAAGATTCTTCATTTTCTCCAAATCTTCTGGCAATTTAGCAAGCTTAGTGCAACCTTCAAGACTTAACCGTCGAAGAGATTCAGCATTTGACAAAGCTGATAGATCAATCAACTTTGTCGAATGACTTAGATCCACCCACTTCAACTTTGGTGTTTCCTGTGATAACCACTCAACTATGGTTATTTGAGCTATTTAATTTGGATATGAAATGTAAAGTGGAATACATACCTTAGTCCCTCTCCAAACACGTTGAATCTTGCTGTAAGGTAGCCTAAGGTCAATCAGTTTCTCCGCGTTGAAGTCTGGTGGAAGTTCTTCCAATGGAAATTTCAGCCAGTGCAGATATCGAATCTCTTTCAACGTTAAGTCTAGTCCATCAGGCAAGTTTACTTTGCAGCTGTCAATAGCTTCACATTGCCTAGGACAACGAGAGTCAAAGATTTTGAGGTATCGCAGATTCGGCATCTTGATGAAGGCTTTACGTTCTAAAGCTATTCCTTTGCCTATTTTGGACATGTCTAGGAAAATGCCCCTTGCACTAACCGTTCCCTGGTAACAAAATTTGATAAATTACCAACACAAACATAAGATTTCAGTCTTAACCCAAAATCTAAACATTTACTAGAGGAAACACACACTTGTTCACACCAAAGCCTAAATTGTTTTTCAAACGCAATCTCTTTGCTTGAGTTTACATAAGAAATATTATTTTTGTTTTAAATCACATATTGAGTTTTTTTAAATAATGAT